AGTGTCTTTATTTCTGACAGAACCCCTACCGTTAATGTTAAATTACTTATGCAATGATTGACGTTTAGAAAAGGTAAGGTGAAGTTACGCAAGTTTTTATTTAGAAACAAATTGTAGTGGGGCATGAAAGTTGGGTACACAATGCACAAGTACCGAAATAGTACTTTTTAAATTTGACGAGATTCAAGGATTGAGTGGTTGCAAAGATGATAACATTTCAGTCTTTTTACTAAAACTGCAAACCTGGAAACAGGCTAAAATGCAAAGTAGACGCGTTTTTCAACATTTTGGTAGAAAAAGAAAAAAGAGCTAAATGGTGATCCAACGAATTTCAAAATTACGCCCCCTTTTTTGGAATTCATGTGACGGACTATGTCGTCGTGTTCCGCGTAGCTTACTAAACCTAATTTAATAGTCTTTGTGTTCGGATAATAAGAGGATTATTCTAAGGGATTAACAGGTTTATTTCAAGGAATTATGACCTGATTACCTCAAAGGTTTTATAGTAATACTTCCGGAAGTGTGTGTCTGTTACTCAATGATAAAGAAACAAAAAATATACACGAAAGTTTTTAAACTGCCACAACGGTAGAATTGTTGTTAGTTCTTACCAATGTAGTTAGCTTGCTTTGATCAGGAGTTACTAATAACAAAATACATTCTCGTTAAAGATTGTCAACAACTTTGGATTACATCTTATTCAAAGAGTTTATTAGTTTCGTAGCCCGGAAGCTGAGACTCAAATTACGAGTATTCTTGTTCAATACCAACGATACAAACCGATCTATGGAAACCGACAGGATAAAACCAGAGCAAGAAAAATAAAATAAAAAGATGTTAGTCAACAATAACACTGAACCTTACCAACAAACACTAGATGTGATTCATTATTAAAAATATGCACGTAAAGTCTAGACCAGTCTCACTATTTGTACGTGTCGTAAGACAAGTCCAGTTCTCACTTCTGTGTTAAGTTCTTTATGCATATTTTGTGGCAGTGAAGAGGACAACTCGTGTGACTCTGAAGAACAACAAAAGAGGACAACTCGTGTGACTCTGAAGAATAACAAAGAGGACAACTCGTGTGACTCTGTAGAACAACAAAAGAGGACAACTCGTGTGACTCTGAAGAATAACAAAGAGGACAACTCGTGTGACTCTGTAGGAAGCCATTATATTCCTGGGAGCCAAACAAGTGAGTGTGTCCAATCCACAGAAAATTCAACGAAGTTTCTACTAGTTTTGATATCCATCATCCACTATCTATTAAACTTTGTCTACGGTTACTGTGCGAAGTTTCTACTAGTTTTGATATCCATCATCCACTATCTATTAAACTTTGTCTACGGTTACTGTGCGAAGTTTCTACTAGTTTTGATATCCATCATCCACTATCTATTAAACTTTGTCTACGGTTACTGTGAGTGTTTTTAGCATTACAAAAACAACAATAAACAAACAAAAAACAACAATAAACAAAACAAAACAGAAAGGTTAAATGCAAACCAAAAACATTTTTTTTTTGGTTTTTGATAAATATAGGTTAAGGATCACTTTAAGAATAAACTATCACACCTCGAACTAAAGCTGCTATAATGACGAAACCAAATCAAAAGTGAGGCTTTGAATTATAAGGGGACGAGTGCGGCCCACTGGTTAAGGTGCCAGATTTTGGATTTCCTTCGTTACTTCAAAAAGTAGAGATAAAAAAAATCGCGCTCCACATTATAAGAGTGGCGGCCAAGCCTCAATATTCGGTAGGCCAAGAGTTGGGGGTGGGTGGTATTGACTAGCTGCCTTCCCTCTAGTCTATCACTACTAAATTAAGGACGGCTAGCGCAGATGGCTCTCGTGTAGCTTTTCTCAAAATTCAACAAACAAATAAACTGAATTAAGTATGCACGTTTAATCAGTCATCTATATTTTTACGAAAGAGAAGTTACTAATATTTCCTGGCGGTCACAAGCGTATCGACAGAATAAATCTTGTAGAAAGTTATTTTCTAGTCACCCGATAATAGATATGAACAGGGTTCTGATTGAGCATTTTATTAAGCATGGACATTGTTGAGCATTTTGTAACTTTAATAATAATCTTTTATCAGAAGTAATTTACCTGTGTTTCTGAGCATTCCATCTTTAACACAGCTAAATGCTATTTATTAATTTTTTTTGTTACATAAGCTCATGGATAATAGCGACAAAACTATAAAATTAAAACATTTATCGTTACTCCATAGCGTTATCGCGTGTAGTTATGGTGCACACATGCAAGAAAAATAAGCTTTTGGAATAAACACATTTAACATAGTTAAGTCTAAACTACTACTACGTAAGATAGGGCTAAATTATCATATTACTGCTACTAACAAGCTTGTATACCAACAGCTTATTGCAAAATAGCATCAGCATTTCTCTGTTACTTTGCAATATGTACAACTAGCTTAAGGACTTTGACAATAATATAGGTTCTAACACAACTGTAATATTTTAAAAAGAGAATAGGTACACGTATGTGTGTATGTAGAGTATAAGTGACTCTTTGTTGACGAAAGTCTCCACCCGCTGGCGCTTACAATGTTCTCCACTTAGCGGAAGTATTTGGCGTCAGTGCAATTATGTCAAGAAACAATTTCTTTAGCGCCCGCGTTTTCAAAGCTCGTGAGAGACATGAAGTGGAGACCGTTTGTTGGTTGCTGGTCCTCGCGAGGTTTTTCGATCGGTTTAGTAGATCCTCCACAGGTAATGGCAAACTTGAGTTCTTTACACAACTCCACACAGAGTGGTTCCTACACAGGAGAAAACAACGTGTAACATGGATTAGTAAAATTGACAAACAAAATATTCTTAAGCCTCGTGTTGGAGTGGAAGGTACAAATTGGAGTCTGATAACATTTAAAGCGAAAATGTAGAATTAAATATTTCCCAAAATAATTGGTAGTGAAAAAGAATATAATATTGTCTCAACTACAGATGGGGAGCTTAGGAAACATATCTAAAATACAATATTGTCTCAGCTACAGATGGGGAGCTTAGGAAACATATCTAAAATATAACATTGTCTCAACTACAGATGGAGAGCTTAGGAAACATATCTAAGAATACAATATTGTCTCAACTACAGATGGGGAGCTTAGGAAACATATCTAAGAATACAATATTGTCTCAACTACAGATGGGGAGCTTAGGAAACATATCTAAGAATTCTGATGACAATCGTTATCCGTATATTTCACTAAATACCTAAAATAGGTTTAAAAATAATATCGGATATTAAAGAGATGTTGCCATTTTTTTAAGGATCCATTTGATTAATTAATTAATGTCTCGCAAACATTAACGCGGTTTTGAGTACTTTCAGTAAAGTTCTGATTAGTATCTCTTAATACATCTTTAATACTGTTGCGTCATCGAGGTCACGTGACTGGTGTGGCGCCACCTATTTTCTAGAACTATCCTGTACCTTGGCGAATGCTCTAGTATTTACTTGATATAGGGTAGCCTGGTATATAAAAGAGGGTGACAACGGGACGGAATAATGTAATGTGTGTGTGAAGATAGTGAGTAATTGAACTGCAGTCAGAAGTGTTATTGACGTTCGTTGATATAGCGTTTGTTTTAGCGCGATTGTTGAAAATAAGTGTATCGTAAAGTTGTATTCGGAAAGAATAAACCAGTTTTATTAAGTAAAAAACTTGTGTCGCTAAAGTTTCGTCGGAACGAAGTTACGGAAAGTTAATTAACAAACGGAGACATAACAATACTTTCTAGAGTATCACTTAAGCCTAAGTTCTAATTAGTTTTTTTTTGGCTTTGTTTTCTGATTGGTATTCTAAAGTATCACCTAATAAATAAAATGATTAATTATTTACTTTTTGGCTTTCTTTTCTGATTAGTATATTATAGTATCAACTAAGCCTAAGTTCTACTTACTTACTTTTTTGGGGCTTTGTTTTCTGACTGGTATTCTAAAGTATCACCTAAGCCTAATTCCTAATTAGTTACTTTTTATGGATTTTTTTTTTCTAATTAATATACTATAGTATCACCTAAGCCTAAGTTCTAACTACTTACCTGATGATGACAAAACCTTGTCGAAACGTTGTACATTTGCTGTTATGTTAAACTTATATTAAAGTTTTTCTTCATTAGCCATTCAAGCCGTCTCCAACCATTATAAGTAGTAATTAGTTATTTTTTGACTGTTTTCTTACCCTTTCTTCTACAGCAACCTTTCTTGATTTCCAAGTAAATTCACCGAGAACTATGACGCAGGCAAATCCTAGGCCAGCCATCAGAACTACAAAAACACCACCTACATTGTCTAAACCAAGTTCACTGGCTCTTCCCGAGCCAGTTTTAACCTCTTGTTCACACTGTGGCCCTTCCTGCTTCCACCATCGCTGTTTTAATATGTGGAGGGCGCCACTTTCTTGTAGTTTCAGTATGGCGCTGGAAAGAGCTGTTCTATAGGGAGAACCTAAAAATGAAGGTTAATATGTTTATCTATAATCGTTCGATAAGTTATAACGTTTGTTTTATACATTTTAAAATGTGAATTATTACTTTTTGAAACCTGATTTCTTTCTTGTTTTACATAAACACATATCAACGGTAAATGAAAAGGCATTATATTTACTTTCAGCCAATTAGAATGAGCTTGAATTCTCACGTCAGTGATCATAGTCATTTATTACTATTGCTTTTGTGCTTTATCATTTTTAATTATTTCTCAATTCTTTTAAGAATCCAAGAAAAAGAAATACATTGTTCACAAAAAGGGATAATCCGAGTTCATATTGTAGCGTCGAAAAGACGTGACTACTGTTATTAACTAATGCCAATAGCACTCTTGAGTTAATTTGTTTATGTAAAATTAGCATCATGTGACCAATCACGTGATCTGATATGTAAATATTTAATACTGAGTTCAATTGGCGCTATAGATTTGGAAGCCCAATACATGTTACCTGTTCAGAAAAACATTCGTTAATAAGGCACTGATGTAAGCCGAACATCGATGTGGCATTTAAAGTGAATGAATCTACGAGCGATGAGGTAATAGGGCTCATTCCAGCACAGCTGTATTCAGAACACTGCTTGGAGGTTTATCGCGTGCTGCCAAGCGTCTTCCCGACATATCTTATACATGTATAACTGGATTCAGATCAAGTGAGGGTGATGGTCAGTCTAGTAGCTCAATACCCTCTTTATCCAGGAAGTTGATCAGTAGAGCATAGAGGGACGTATATAAAGGTAAGTATAGTTTCTGTCCAAACCAATATGACCCGACATATCTCATACATGTTTAATTGGATTCAGATCAAGTGAGGGTGATGGTCAGTCTAGTAGCTCAATACCCTCTTTATCCAGGAAGTTGATCAGTAGAGCATAGAGGGACGTATATAAAGGTCAGTATAGTTCCTGTTCAAACCAATATCATACACATGGTGTCGATCCTCCGTCATATTCGGGTTGGATCTGGTCTCCTCCACTATCCATAATCGTTCATGATTTGGGGGTTAGATCTGGTCTCGTCCACTCTACACATACGTCCGGATACTAGGGTTAGATCCGGTCTCGTCCACCCTACACATATGTCCGTGATACTAGGGTTAGATCCGGTCTCGTCCACTCTACATATACGTCCGTAATACTAGGGTTAGATCCGATATCGTCCACTCTACACACACGTCCGGATACTAGGGTTAGATCCGATATCGTCCACTCTACACACAAGTCCGTGGTACTAGGGTTAGATCCGGTCTCGTCCACTCTACACACACACACGTCCGGATACTAGGGTTAGATCCGATATCGTCCACTCTACACATACGTCCGTAGTACTAGGGTTAGATACGGTCTCGTCCACTCTACATATACGTCCGTGATATTGGGGTTAGATCCGGTCTCGTCCACTCTACACACATACGTCCGGATACTAGGGTTAGATTCGATCTCGTCCACTCTACACACAAGTCCGTGGTAATAGGGTTAGATCCGGTCTCGTCCATTCTACACACACATCCGTGATATTGGAGTTAGATCTGATCTCGTCCACTCTTCACATACGTCCGGATACTAGGGTTAGATTCGATCTCGTCCACTCTACACACAAGTCCGTGGTACTAGGGTTAGTTCCGGTCTCGTCCACTCTACACACACATCCGTGATATTGGAGTTAGATCCGGTCTCGTCCACTCTACACACAAGTCCGTGGTACTAGGGTTAGATCCGGTCTCGTCCACTCTTCACACACATCCGTGATATTGGAGTTAGATCTGATCTCGTCCACTCTTCACATAGATGTATCCCGATATCTGTCTAAATTGTGAAGCGTGATTCATCTGCGAACAAGACAATCACACATCTGTCGTTTGAACAAACGAAGTGGAATACAGACCAAACATACAAAGCTCTGATTCTTTGACTTTCATTGCAGTTCTGAACTGTAATTCATTTGTGAAGCTGAGGCCTACCAATTACGTGAGTACATACTGCAAAATAATGGGTACATTTAGGGGGTTGTTGGTCAACATTGTTTAGGTCTCCAACTAGTTGTATCAGTGGTTTAAGAACTATCCATGTTTTGTGAGACGTGTAGCCATTCAGATAGTATTTGCGAACAGGAAATACCCATTTCTACAACACGACATGTCTAACTATTAACTGTATATCTTCACACACGCACACTGCTTTGGTTAAAACAGACTGCTAAAATAATCACGTCAGATCACATGACTGGCCAACCAACACTTGCTTTGCATAAAAAAAGTACCTCAAGGGTACGATTAAAATTACTTAGAAAACTGTGATTATCTCTTAATTGTTTTAAGCAATATATTCTCGACAAAATATGAGTAAGTTAGTACAATGGTGCGTATCAGTCTCACCAGATGGAGTGGCGATTCCAAAGCCTTTAGTGTCGAGGAGCCCACCAACTTGCATCAAATCGCACTTCCTCTCCACCATATATTCTATGGTAGTTGACTCCATTAGAAAAGCATAGTTTTCGTTTCGAACCCGTTCAACTCCTTTCTCAATAGACTCAACGAATACTCTGGGTCTTGTTGATTCCATGAAGTTCCACATTCTTTTGTACGTTGGAATGTTGGATTCCTTAGGGAAAATGTTCATTTATTTGTGATATTGGTGTGTCAGAGAAATATAATGAGGTGAAGATCAGTATTAATTCGGAAATGACAGGATAATGGACACGGAGACTGACTGTAGTAACTTTTATTCTGTTAAGTGTGCAAGCTTAAATATAAAAATAAACACTAACGTCTAAAGGCATTGTATGATCATAAACGATTAAAATTAACCACAAGTTCGGTGTTTATGATCACGAAGGCTTAAATTTAACCATAACCAAAATTCTTATTGGACATACGTACTAAAACCAATTGCATGTAAACAATATTCCGAATCTAATAGAAACATTTTTAATATTTTAATATATTCACCCCCCCCAAAAAAAACAACAACAACAAACAAACAAGGAATGTAAGTATGTTCCAAAATAAAGCCAGCGCTCCTGAAGCAGTGAAACTCATAAGAAACCGAGATAGAAGAATTATGGGATGGTGGAACTAGCTAGTTAGGAAAGTAAAGTAAGTTGAACAAAAAGAGACGTGAGCGTGGTTTTCTAAATCCTATTCAAATGGGAATAGGTGTATCCTATCAGTTAGGGTACCCGTACTGTGAATCTAACGAATCATGGGTCCACGACCCGTTGCCACACAAACGCGTCCCTAATTTTGAACTGATAGCGTAGGAGGAAGACATCTAGTGAACAGCACCCATTACTAATTCTTAGGCTAATCTTGCTTAATCGAATAGTGGGATTTGATTGTCACTCTTATAGCGCACCCATGGTCCTGAAGTGAGGAGTGTGTTTTTTCGGCAAAGGGCCTCAAACCATTAACTCACGGATTCATATCCTGAACATGCTAGACCACGAGCTGCTCAGTAGTATTAAGGATGTATGAAATTTATTACATTTTGTGTTTACTTCTGTTGACGTGGTTGTTTTAACTCTTTGTATTAAATACATGGGCTGAATATTGTTATTACTTTCAAACGAAACGTTTACTTACTGACTGAACCGGGTGTGGCTTAATAATTAACATGCCAGACTATGAATTTGAGGGTTCGCGTTTCGCTACAGCAAAAATCGAAGTACTTACTTTGGGGCCGTGAGTGCATTATAAGAGTGACAGCCAAATCCGATAACTCGATTAAAGTGGCTCAAAATGGCGGTGGGTGTTGTTGACTAGTCGTCTGCTTTCTAATTTATTTCAGTATTAGAGACAGCTCTTGCAAATATCCCTTGTGTAACTTTACGCGAACATCGAAACAAAGAAACCTTACAGGGGTTTAGAAAAGAATGGTAATTTCTACTGGTTATACTATCAGTATTGTAAACAAATCTATCATAAAGCTAATTTGTATCTTAATATTTTGTTATATTTTCTTACCTCAAAGACCCGACGTGGGCAGGTGGTTAGGGTGCTTGACCCGCAATCTGAGGGTCGAGGGTTCCAATCCCCATTCCACCAAACATGCTCGCCCTTTCAGCCGGTGGGGGG